ATAATGATAATGATAATGATAATGATAATGATAATGATAATGATAATAATAATATAATAATAATAATAATGATAATGATAATGATATTGATAATGATAATAATAATAATATAATAATAATAATAACGATAACTTAATAAAATTCGCGAATATAAAATAAATGAATATTTTAACGACACATGGAGGTCGTAAAATTTGCATTTTGAGAAAGTCCTGATTTAAATGATGATAAAAAGAACAAAATATAAAATCAGAGTATTGTTAATGTAAAAAATATATAACGGTAAGTATAACTTTATTTAATACACTAATTGTGTGTGAGTAATATTTTATTTATTAAATATAATGTGTATAAATATATATAATATTATATTATTTATATATATTATTATATATTATATATATATATTATTTATTAATATTTTATATTATATATAAAATTTATTTATATATAATTATATTTATTATTATTTATATTTATATATAAATTATATTTTATATTTTATTATTAATTATATTTATATTTAATTATGTTTCTTTTTATTATTTATTATATATAAATATTTATATTATATATATTATATTATTTAACACACTAGTTGTGTGTGTGTAATATTTTATTTAATAAATATAATATATATATATATATATATATATATATATATATATATATATATATATTATTTATTAAATAAAGTATATATTATGTTTGAAAGAAAGAAAATGAGAGGATTTGAACGTTGATAGGTAATTGTTTATAAGACATTTGAATAGATTTTATTTTCTATTATATTTGAAGAGTAAATAATATACACAGAATGAGACATGTTTCATCGAATGGCATATAGTATTTTAAACTGCAATGCTGCCTTGTACTGTATCTTTGAAAAGTTCTCTTAAAAAACTACTATTTACAATATTATGCGTATTTAGTTTCGTTCTATGTTTTAACAAATTATAATACATTCGATGAGAGCATTGTTTACATATGTATGTTTCTTGCGTTTGTGTATATATATTTATTAGAAATTATAATCACGTGTGTACTTCTTACACATGAAGAAACAGATAAAATCGTATAATTAAATAATATTCTAATTTTTAATTATAAACAAAAAGAAAAAAGAAATTACACATATGCATAAGGTATGTATATATCACACATATACTTTGATTAAATAAATTAAATTTATATTAATGCAATTTTATCAAACATATATATATATATATATATATATATTAATTAATAGATCTAAAATTGATGAAAAGTTCATAATTAACAAAAACGAAGAAGAATCAATTATTTTTTATTATCAAGAGAAATTTCATTTTAAAATATATATTATATAAGATATCGTCTCGCGAAATCTTGTTGTGAATACCATAATTAAATAGAACATTATCCTTCTTCATACATATATACACACACACATATATATATATATATATATGTATATTTCTCATTTAAAGAAGAAAAGATAATAATAATTACAATAATAATCGAAGATCATTAATAGAGATAAAATTTAACAGAATTAAACTAATGTTAAAATAAGAACAAACAAAAAGATACTGAAAAATTATATATATATATGTATATATATATATCATTATCCGATAGTTTCAATATATTAATTTGAATCTTTTGAAATTTACAGATGACGTTTATAATATAAATGCTTCGTCTGGCGTGTTATTTTTTAAGAAAATTTTCATTCAAATATAAATACATATTTCATAGGCTTAACTGTATTATCGTGATCTTATTAATTTTTTTTTTTTTATTCTTTTCTTTCTGTTTTTTTTTTTTTTTTTTTAAATCAAATACCACACATCTTTTTGCAGCACTACAAAAGGAATTGATATATTTTTCTATGTATAATATATAATGTATAATATAATAATATAATCTCTATTATTTTTCTTATGAAATGACACACTGTAAAACTATACACGGCATATCTTAATTTATGCATTATTCGTTTATATACAATTTCTTTTATTTTAGATTATTATTATTATTATTATTATTATTATTATTATTATTATTATTATTCTAAATAATATCAAAACGTTAGTTTTATTTTCATCTTATTTTTCTTTTCTTCTCTATTTGGTTTTATTAATTGCACGCAACATCATGACTTCTTTCAAAATGATATTTGAAAAGTGCGTTTAATTTATTTTTTATATATATATATATATATAATTACAATGTTTCTTTCTTCGTTTTCATTTTGTATAATATGAGAATTAGCATGATTCATCTGATTTTTTTTTTTTTTTTTTTATTTAAATAATCTTAAATATTACTAAATATTTATTGATAATGTGTTCTCTTCTTTTGTTTCAAATGTGTTATTATAGAAATTTACTAAGTGAATAATAAGATATTACACACAAATATTAAAATAGTAATATCAAGATCTTGAATACGAATAGTTCGTAATGAAATGAAAAAAAAAAAAAAAACAAAAAAAAAACAAAAAAAAAAGAAATATTTACGAGAAAATATCATATTAATTCGTCAAATGTAAGTATAAGCATTATATTGCAAAAATATTCTTTTTATTCATTTCTCTGCATGGAAATTATAATTGTTTTCAATTAATTGAGTAAAATCAATTTTAACAAATTTCATTGAGAGTTCATTATTGTAGCACCACCTTTAAAGACAAATAGAATTATTAACATTGTTTAATAATAAAGACAAATTATTCTAAATTATTCGTTTTGCAATATCACTCTTATACAACATTATTATTATTATTATTATTAATACTAAATATGAATAAATAAATATATATATATATACGTGATTATCTTAAAAACGATTCTAAGCAACTTTTCAGGGGAATAATAATTCGGAAAGAAGAAATTTACGTAGGAAATTTTTCTTCTAAAACTAATTTTAAAATTAAATCACCAATCAAATATTTATATTATACGTTTCACTTTTGTTTTTTATTTTTTTCTTCTTTTATTTTATTTTTTATTTTTTATTTTTTATTTTTTATACACGATGAAGTTGTACTTGTTGTTTTGAATTATTACAATAAATGCATATATAATTTCAATAATGTTCTATACAAAATCCCCTGAAAAGTATTTTATGCATAATTATAAATATATCTTCAGCAAATGATGATAAATGAGATAGGAGATAAAATTCATTACATTTCAATTCTAATAAACAACTAATGATGATAAAATTAATGTCTGTTAAAAAAAAAAAAAAATTATGCTTTCTACATTTGTTGATACCATGCCATTTTGTTTTCTATATGGAAAAAAAAAAGAAAGATTACTATTAAAATATGATAGAACTAAAATATCAAATTCTCCTATCAACATTTTGTTAAATATTATACATCGTGTATTTTCGTAAATACGCAATATCTATATATATATTTACAGTCTCCACCTTTATAATTATTATAAATAAAATCTCTCAAGAATTATTTATCGATCAGTACATAAACGCATGATAATAATACAAAGTATCCTGTAAACGATGATACAAGCTGGCAGAAGATGATTCTACAGAAATTCGAGAATGTAGATCACCCCCTCCTCACTTGTGCCACCAATTACAAGACACTCTATATATAAAATAATAATTCTTTTACATATTTTCATGTATAATCATTCCTTATTCACTTATACCATCAATTACATAACACTCTGTAAACATATATATATATATATATATATATATATAAAATAACGCGTTTGAACGGGTTTCAATTATTAAATAATTATTTATAATTATTCTCTTTTAGATTAGAAGAAAATATGAATACTAACTAAATGTTGCGTTTAAGTTTTTAATATTATTCTTCTGTTCTTTTGTTTTTATTTTTATTTCTCTTTTTCATATTATTCGTATAAATAACTAATAAAACAATCTTACGTGATGATCATCGAAGGTTTTGTAAAATCTATTTAGATTTAAAAAAAAAATCGTCATGAAAGATAATACGATTTTATCACTTTCATTTAATTACCATTAAAATTAGTAAATGAAAAATATTTAATAGATATATATTCCTATATATATATCTATATATACATAGTTCAATGCACATAACTTTCTTTATACTACCTACGTATATATATATATTTATACGAATGATTTCATTTGGCTGAATTAAACCATATTGTATATAATGTTTTAAATATATTGCAATTAAAACAATGCAATGTATATAATTCTAATATAAAAATGATTTCTTCTTTTAAAATGATTAGAAGTAAGGAAGTTTTTTTTTTTTTACTAGAATATTATATGATAAACATTTTATCACATAGCGAAATAATTAATAAATCGATAATGATTTAAAATATGACTTTAGCATACAGCAATATATTATATATAATTTAACGAAAAAAAAAGAAAAAAAAAAACAACAATAACAAGTGTCATGTTTTATATTACAGATAGTCATGAAGCAGAAAAAAACTTTTGAAGACGGTGTACTGTTCTGCGATCGAGAGCACACAAATCAAAATCAAATGTCTTCTTAGTAATTTCGTATTGACCTGTCTCTTCAATAACACGAACAACTCTTTGCAATTCATCATTATCTTGTATCGTCATTATCTTGTGTTGCAGATCCTTCAACTGCGACACATAATCTTCGGAAAATACGGGAGCTTCACCAGAGTCGGATTCTACCAAAGTACAATTGGTAGAATCTGGTGCCACTTGTTCCCCATCAGTTTCTCCTTCTTTTTTATTCATTTGCTCAACCATGTTACGTTCATTCTTTTCTTTTACAATATCTCGAATAGAATCGCCATCCACCACGACTGGTGACTGACTAGAGGATACCAATTCCAGCAATGGTGAAGTCGAATGACTCCTGTCCTTTTCCCTTTTAGAATTATGATCGTCATCACCTTTACTCTCACTTCTTCGTTTCCTCTTTTTACTTTCCCTTTCCTCTCCTCTACTACTTTTGGGTCTATCCCTTTTATTACGATCACTTTTATCTTTCTTTACTTCATTTACAGGTGGCGGCGAAGGTGGTCTTGTTGTTCCTTGATCCGTTGAAACAGTCGAGGGAGCTGTATCCTCAAATTCCTTTCTTGCATTCAAATTTATGGTTTTACTTTCAGCGAAGGATTCTTCATCTACGGACGGTGCTGAATCGCTACTATCTCTTTCCGGCATATATGCAAAAAGCATGGAAAGAGGATTAGACGACGCTGGCACATTATTTTGCTTTTCTGCAGATGATTTGGATTTATCTCGTTTTTCCTTTTTCTCTCTTTCTCGACTGCTATCTCTCTTTTCTTTTTTATCTTTCTTCTTGTGCTTATGCTTCGTCCTATCTTTATCACTTTTATTTTCCTTAACCTTCTCCGACTTTTCACTTTTTTCCAATTTGTCGACTTTTGGTAATTTATCGTCTTTAATTTTATCGCCTTCTTTAACGGGTTTGGGAGATTTTCTACCATCCTTTATTGACTTATAATCCTGAGATTTTTCTTTCTCTTTATCAGACTTTTCTAATTTCTTATCATTTATCTTCTGTGCTTCCTTAACACTAGAACGTTCACCTTCCTTGTATTTTTCTTTTTTCTCTTTATAATTGTCGTCCTTATATTTCTTCTTTTCCTTCTTTTTATCAGTCTTGTTTATATCCAAGGAACTTTTAGAATTATCTTTAGCCTTATCCTTATCCTTGTCCTTGTCCTTATCTTTATCTTTATCCTTATCTCTCTCTTTTTCTTTCTCCTTTTCTTTCTCTTTCTCTTTTTCTTTTTCTTTCTCTTTCTCTTTCTCTTTCTCTTTATCCTTCTCTCTTTCTTTTTCTTGAACAGACTTTTTTAAATCTTTCTCTTTAGACTTCGGTGGTGATGACCTTTTAACAGAAGGTGAAGAACTACGAGGCCTTTTTACCAAAGAAGGAGAAAATCGTTTATTCGTTGGACTCGAATAACCTTTGCTTCCAGGACTAGATGGTCTTTTTAATTTTTCCTTACTTCTACTTTTTTCCTTTGAAGGATCCTTAACCTTTTTATCCTTCTTTTCTTCTGTTTTATCTTTCTTCGTATCCTTATGAGGACTGTCTTTACTTTTAGTTACTTTATCTACTTTATCAGCCTTTTCAGATACACTTACAGGTTTGACAGTATTACTTTTATCAGATTGGATTACCTTTTTATTTTCAGGAGATATTTTCGCCGTCTTTATAGGAGGTCCAAATAATTCAGCGAACGAGTTAGACGTCTTGGATTCTATTGGGCGATGCTTCTTTTGCTCACCAATAGATAACTTTGGTTTACCAACCATAACGGGAGTTTTTATCTCACCTCTGTCTGATGTACTCTCAGTATTGGATATTGTACACTGTGAATATAAAATTGAAATAACATGTTAGATATATGTATTAGATTTTTATAAAAATTCTTTATTAAGTAAAATAAAATTGTTTGATGATACTAACACCGCCTCCTTTTAAAAGTTTTCTTTTAAATTCTTCCGATGGATTATTTATTATTTCAATATGACGTATAACTTTATTAATAATCCTTCCTCTAGGTTGTAAATTAAGTTTGTAAAGAATTTGAAATCTTTTTGGTTCATCCTTATTTTTTAAATAAACATGAATTGGGATCATAAATCCTGCATACCCTGATTCTTTGACCACATAAGGTGGTTCCTTTACTACTCTTTTAGGTTTTGGAAATGTTTCATGTAGTTGAAACACAACTGAAAATAAATAAATAACAATGTATTAAAGTAAAAAAAGTCGAAAATATTTCATGTGACTTGATTAAACGTTAATCTTCGTATTGAACAAAAAAAATATTACCTTTCTCAATATAGTGATGTATTTCTGTGTTGTCAACTCCTCGTACAAAAACTTCCCAGTCATGTGTAAAACCTTCTGGCGAGATACGCTCACGTAATATTGATACATGTCCACATTCCAGTGTAAGTCGAATTGCCATTCTCTCTTAGAGAAAATAGTAAATATATATTTTCAAATAAAAATAATAATAATAAAAATGTAGATGTTAATTTAAATTTCACACACAATCACAAAATCTCATTACATTTTTATATATCATCAATAACGTGACTGAAACTGCTTGAAGAATATTCGTTATTGAATATTATATATTATTCAATGAACGTGTGTAATGATAGGAATCATTGCGCGTTAATTTATATCAAACGCATACGTAATAACAATACTTCTTTGATAATTTTCATAAGCACTAAATGTTGAAGCATTGTGCGGTTAAAAATAATTATCTCTGATAAAATATTGATCGTCACATAAGACGATCATAATAATTCACTTTTCAACTTTAACGTATCATTTGTTTAATTTATCTGCATTCGCAATAATCTTATTATTCTTTTTATTTAAGCTTTTATTTCAATCTGACTATCAACAGGTCAACTAAGCACCATCGAAAACTGGACGCCATCATCGTTATCTTGAAAAAGGAAAATTAAAGAAATTTAAATCAGCGCTATCTATGATACGAAGAAAATTCTCAACTAAACCAATCAGATTATACAAATTTTCAAGTTAAGAGAAAAAAATGTAACTACTTTCACTGCAAATATTTAATTACTTTTAAATTGAAAAATCGATTACGAAAAATAATTTCGATAATTCGATAATTCGATAATTAATATCGCAACAACAACCCGAACTCAACCTCAATCTTGGAATTTCGTGTGTTCGATTACCGTTGTTTACAAACAACTCGATCGACTAATAGTACCTAACTACTCTTACCAATAATCAAACTAAACATGAATAACAATCAATAAAACAGTGTTGCCATTGCGGTAATAATTTTGATTTTTGCATAACCTTATATCAATACTTTTGTTTTTATACGAAAAAATACAATATTAGATTAATGTTTTCTGCAATCAATGGTTAGCAATATACATATTGATACTTGTAAGTAACATTATTTTACATGTAAGTAGTAACTTTTAATAATACAAATGAACAGTATCTCGATTATAACCTCTTTAATTATTTATTTAATAATTTAAGTAGAAATAATATTGCATAAATTAAATCATTAAAGCACTCGTGTGTATTTTTGTATGTGTAGAATATAGAACACTGTTAAGAAAAGAAATCAAACATGTTATCATCGATTGTCAAGGAGCACCAAAGTAAACAAGCAGCAAGAAAGGAAAGGCAAGGTACTATAATGTTTTTTAATGTTATTTAAACATGTTTGCTACAATTACAGTGCAGATTTTATTTTGTGTATTGATTACTGTAACAAATGTGTTACATTGGATTTTCTATAAAAATTGATATATCAAATTGATAGCACAAACATGTTTATACATTAATATTATATGATGTAAAGAATCCTATTTAAAATTAGAATTTTTTAACAGAACAGAAACGTAAGGAGGCTGTTCAAGCTGCTAACAATTTAACTCAAGCACTTGTAGATCATTTAAATGTTGGGTAAGTGTTACACATCTTAATTTGTAAACATAAATTCTACATATTGTTTAATGTATATTTAGGGTAGCACAGGCATATTTGAATCAAAAAAAGCTTGATGCTGAAGCTAAACAATTACAACACAGTGCAACCAATTTTGCCAAACAGACACAATCCTGGTTGAATTTAGTGGAATCATTTTCAAGTGCCTTGAAAGAAATTGGTGATGTCGAAAATTGGGCTCGAAGCATAGAAGGTGATATGAGAACGATTGCCACTGCCTTGGAATATTCTTACAAAGGTATGAATATTTAACAAATTATTTATATATAAAAATATATTTACATATATATATATATATATATATATATATATATATTTTTATTAAATCAATTGTATTATTTTTCTTTTTTAGCTACACAAGAAACTCAAGCTGCAGGATCATCTTAAAAGCACAGATTTATGTGCTTTGATTCTTTAGATTTATAAACGAGATAGATTCTTTTATTTTATCCATTCCACATAGATGAAAAATTAGAAATTATTTGTATAATTATTATTCATGTAAATAAAATGATTTATTTTTGTTCCTAAAAAGAATTTACAGTAAGTATACCTTAAATGTAAATTCAATTTTATATTTGTGTGTATTATATAATTTATAAAATATATATGAGATATTAATAAATTATTAATCTATAATTAATTTATATTATATTTATAGTCCAGTATCAGATTACTTCAATCTAGGCCAATCAGGTTAAAGTGTTAGAAACGCGCCCTAATTTTGTCCAGAAGTTGAAAATGATGCATAAGTGAGTAATATTCATGCAAACAAATTTAATGAATGTGCAAATAATGCTTTAATATATTTTAACGCTGATTTTATGAACTAACATTATTAAAGGTTGATATACATGGTAGGTTAATAAAAACTGATACAATAAGTGACATTTGAATATACTTCATATCATTTCATTTCCGTTACGCGCCAAAACAGAACATTTTATGCACAGATAAAAAAAACTTTATTAAAAACATTATAAAAAATGATTGGATCAAAGAAGTTGCACGTAATTAATCGAGGTAATTATAAATAATGAAAAAAAAAATAATTATAAATTGTTAAAAGATAAATGATTTTTCATAATTATACATTTAAATATATCTTTGTTTAATAAAGGTGGCCGGGTGGAAGATGTACATTTTGATGAAATAACAACTAGAATTAAAAAATTATGTTATGAATTGGATATGGAATATGTTGATCCTGTAAGTATAAATTAAAAATATAGTTTCAATTATTTCTTTATCAAGACCTTTAAAAATAATAATTTATACTGTTACTTTTTTGGTAATACATTTTTATAATAAGTACATTAAGTAATTTTAATTATTATTTCTAGTGTGCAATTACTATTCAAGCTTTAAATGGTATATATCCTGGTATAACTACTGCAGAATTAGATAATCTTACAGCAGAGATAGCAGCAAGTATGGGTACTCAGCATCCTGATTATGCAGTGTTAGCTGCTAGAATTGCAGTATCTAATCTTCACAAAGAAACTAATAGTGTCTTTAATGGTATGTATAATAATCATTTACCAAAATTATATTTTTATATATATATGTATGTATGTATGTATGTATGCATGTATGTAATCTTTCATTATTGAAATAATTGTATTAAATATAAATTATTCATTTCACAGAAGTAATATCTGATTTGTACAATACGAAGAACATGCACAGTGGTAAAAACATATCTTTCATTTCTGAAAGATATTTCAACATTATCCAAAAAAATGCAACTAAATTAAATAATGCTATTGTTCACGAAAGAGATTATCATTATGATTATGTTGGTTTCAAGACCCTTGAGCAAAATTATTTGCTCAGAATTGAAAATAAAATTGTCGAGAGGCCGCAGCACATGTTAATGCGAGTAGCTGTTGGAATTTATGAAGAAGATATTGATAGAGTTATTGAAACATATAATTTATTATCCGAACGTTACTTTATACATGGTTCTCCAACTCTTTTTACTGCGTGTACCATAAAACAACAAATGTCAAAGTACGTTTATATAAATTATGTTATATATTAGTCGATAAAATTATTATAATATTTCTTTTTCTTTTTTTTCTTTTTTTTTTTGTAGTTCTTTTCTATTGACAATGTCTTCTGACAGTATAGAAGGAATTTGTGATACTTTAACGAGATGCGCATTAGCCAGTAAATCTGGTGGTGGAATTGGATTAAATGTCCATTGTATCAGAGCAAGAGGCACACGAATAATTGGTACATTTGGAGTATCCAATGGTTTAGTTCCTATGTTAAGGGTTTATAATAATACAGCAGAATATGTTTATCAAGATGGAAGTAAAAGACCAGGATCGTTTACCATTTATCTAGAACCATGGCATGCAGATATATTTGGATTTTTAAATTTGAAGAGAAATACTGGTAATTTAATTTTATTTGACTTATCAATTTTATATTACAATATTGATATATTAATATCGATTATTATTTTTGTTTAGGAAAGGAAGAAAATCGAGCAAAAAATATGTCCTATGGTTTATGGATACCAGATCTTTTTATGAAACGTGTTCTCGATGACGACGTTTGGTCTTTAATGTGCCCTTGCAAATCTCCCGGATTAGCTGACGTTTGGGGAGACGATTTTGAAAAATTATATATCAAGTAAATTTGTATTTTACAATGTGTAACAAAATATTTCATTGTAATCTATATTTTAAATCGTGAATTATTGTTAAGGTACGAAAAGGAAGGAAATTACAATCAACAAATTAAAGCAAGAGAATTATGGTCTGCCATACTTGCATCACAAGAAGAAACTGGTAACCCATATATGCTTTATAAGGATCACTGCAATAGCAAGACAAATCAACAAAATGTAGGAACTATTAAATCCAGTAATGCATGTGCCGAAATTATAGCTTATTCAAGTTCAGATGAAATTGCTAATTGCAATTCAGCTTCTATTGCTGTTAACATGTTCGTGGATCCTAAAGAAAGAAAATTTGATTTTGAAAAGCTTAAAATGATAACTAAAATTGTCACACGTAATTTAGATACGATTATTGATGTTAATCAATATCCACAATCACTTCCAGAAACAAAAACATCGAATCTCAGGCATCGGCCTATAGGTAAATTGTATTATTTACAAATGGTATAAAATTATAATTAAATATATTTACTAATATATTTTATTTTTATTACAGGTATTGGTGTACAAGGATTAGCCGATGCATTTATTTTGATGCGTTATCCATTTGAAAGCGAAGAAGCTCAAAAACTTAACATACAAATTTTTGAAACTCTCTATTATGGAGCTTTAGAAGCCAGTTGTGAATTAGCAAAAGAAAAAGGAGTCTATGAAACGTATTTAGGAAGTCCTGTTAGTAAAGGCGTAAGTTATCAATCTCATACAATTTTGTCAATACCCCCCCTTGTCATTTTATTTTAAATATCTATTGAATTGTTAACATTTTTGTGGATATACAGATTTTACAATATGATATGTGGAATGTAACACCGACAGATTTATGGGATTGGAATACATTAAAAAAAGATATTTCTAAATTTGGTATAAGAAATTCATTGTTAATTGCATTAATGCCAACATCATCTACTTCACGGATTCTAGGAAATAATGAATCTATAGAACCATATAAAAGCAATATTTATACAAGACATGTTTCATCTAAAGATTTTCAAATAATTAATCCTCATTTATTGAGAGAGCTTACTAAATTACAACTTTGGAATGAACAAATGAAAAATGACATTATAGCCAATAATGGTTCGATTCAGGTAAATTATCCTTTTTTTCATTTACATTCTACTTTTTTTATTATCTATTCTTTTGTTTTGTTTTTTTCATTATATCTTATAATAATATAATAATAATATTTTACAGAATATTGATAACATACCAATGGATACAAAATTACTTTATAAAACTATATGGGAAATTCCACAAAAAACACTTCTTAAAATGGCAGCTGAACGTGGACCTTTTATCGATCAATCACAATCAATATCTGTTTATATGGCTAAACCGACAACTGATAAACTTACTTCAATGCATTTCTATGGTTGGAAAATGGTAAGTGTATCTTAATCTTAATAATTAAAACCTTACTTAAAAGTTTATTTTTACTGAACGCTATATTTAATATTTCTAGGGTTTAAAAACTGGTATGTACTGTTTACGAACACAATCAGATACAAATAAATTTAACAGTAATAAAAAAGAACAAAATCAATGCACAAATAATAAAGAAATAAATAAAGAAACGCAAACCGACAAAAATACCAATGAGAATGATAATAAGGATGATAATGATGATGAGGATGATAATGAAATGGATTCAAAATTGATGTGTTCCATTAAAAATGGAGATGCTTGTTTTTCGTGTGGATCATAATTATTTTTATAAAAAAAAAATATATATATTTTTAATTATCACAATCCAAATAATATATAAAAGAATAAGATTTATTATGTATGTATTTTGAAAATGATAAGTGATACAGTATTGATTGAACTTTATTTTTCTACCTAAAAAAAATATATATATATATATAAATACTTTAATAAAATATTTTATTATATTGTAAACCTTATATTATATCAGACACCATAGAAAATATTGATAATATTGCATAAAAAATATATTTTTAACTATTGTAATATTTGTTAGAACAATTTTAAATTTTTATCATCGGTTTAAAATCGTCCAATCACAGTGATTCTCGTATGCGCATGATCAGTAAAGCCCGTTCTTAACAAACTAACCTCATCTGCACCGGCTTCGTGTTGTTTGCATTTGTCTCTAGTATAGTTTTATTTTATAAATAATATAAGTGTATGCAATTTAATAATATAATTTTGTGTATTTGTAATGCCTAAAAAGTGAAATAAGATAAAATTATTATTATTATATTTTTACAGTAATCAAGTATTTTTGAGTAATATAAATACCTAACCTACATTATGGCAGCTGGTCCAATAGCAGAAAGAAATCAAGGTAATTTATAATTAATTTTAATAAAAAATTAGTTTATATTATTGTATGATTTCTAATTTATATTTCATGTATTTTTAGATGCAACAATATATGTGGGAGGATTAGATGATAAAGTGACAGAATCTTTGATGTGGGAATTATTTGTTCAGTCTGGCCCAGTGGGTAAGTTTAAATATAATAATTCTACTTATATTAAATGTTTGTTCTTATTTAATAATTATAAAATATAATGTATTTCAGTGAATGTACATATGCCAAAGGATAGGGTTACACAAATGCATCAAGGTTATGGATTTGTCGAATTTATGGGTGAAGAAGATGCAGACTATGCTATTAAAATAATGAACATGATAAAGCTGTATGGTAAACCGATCAGAGTCAATAAAGCAAGCGCTCATCAAAAGAATCTTGATGTTGGTGCAAACATCTTTATTGGTAATCTTGATCCTGAGGTAGACGAGAAGTTATTATATGATACATTCAGTGCATTCGGTGTTATACTTCA